GCATCATTAGCTAAAATGTTTAAAGCAATTTATGAAGATCCTAATAATCATCTTACATGGCCAAAAGTTTTAATTGTGGATAAAGGTACTGAATATCTAGGTGAGTGTAGAGATTTATTACTTAGTCATGGCGTAAAAATTATACAAGCTAAATCTAAACGTAGTACATCAATAGCTGAACGTGATCACCAAGAATTTGAGAAACATGCCTATATTCGTCAAGATGCTGTAGATTTTCATTTACCATTATCTGAGAGATGTCGATCTTGGGTTAAAGGTCTTCGTATTAATGATGACATTTATAATGATACTCCTACCCGATTAATTCATATGTCTCCTAATGAAGCTGTAAAAAAAGCTTTAAAGAGTGAAAAAATAATTGCTGATCCATCTGTAAAACATCGTAGACCTATTGGATTTGATGAACCTCGGTTAACCTATAAAGATTCGGTTTTATATTTATTTGAACCCGGAGAATTAGAATTTGGCAGAAGACGCATAACTGATATGAATTGGTCTTCAAAGATTTATCGCATTAAAGAATCATTAATACAAAAAAATCAACCGGTGTTATACTGGCTTATGGATGAAAATGGAGATGGTCCTGAAAGATCATTCGTAAGAGAATAATTGATGAAAGTTGGTAAAGTTGAGTATCCACCTAAACGGATCCTTGCCAAAGGCAGTCACACAGTGGCTAAACAATATTAAATTTCTAAACCATGAATTCTTTGAAGAATATCATCTACTTCTTCTTTGGATCTTTTTTCTATAACTTCTTCCTGACTAGCTAATTCGAAATACAACTTATATAAATTTTCAAGACTAGTATATACTTCTTCATTATACCAATCTTTGAAATCTGCCATTCTTTTATTATAAGTTTCCTCATTTGGGACGCACTGTTTTGCAACATATCTAACATGATCTTCTGGATCTCTTTTTCGTTGTAAAGTTTTAAGATAGTTTACATACATCGCTCCTAATTTGTTATATTTTTTGGTGCCTTGGCTATATGAAACTTTAATCACTTCAACTAAAGCTGATTTGATATTTTTGTGATCTACCATTTTGAATACTTGTTTTTGTTATATATAATAATATTTTAAATATATCTTTTCCTTTATTTAAAATAAAATGCATGGTGGATATATCTGCTCCTATCTTCATAATTCTGGTAAAAGATGTAATAGAAGTTGTATGCATCCTGATGGTTGTTTTCGCCATCGAAGAGCCAAAAAACGCATTCCTTGCACTGTATATGTGAAGCCTACTGCCTCCCCTTCTGACCGTTGCCAGGATCATATTGGTGGGTATTATGTTACTCAATATATTGCTCGACTTAAAAATGCTCCCCGATAACTCACTGCACTTCATTTGTTCATGATTAGAATGGATTTTGAAGACTCAAACTATACAAGAAAGCAATATGGTAACTAGATGCTTTACTTTACTTTGCATTTTGGGTGCTTTGCACCCTCATACAGTTAGCAATAATGGATTTCGGAGACTTACTAGACAAGAAAGCTAAAATGTTATCTAGATATATTTCAAAGCAAAAAAACGTCAAATAGCTATACAATATATTTTTTATATAACGAAAATGTATCGTAAAAAGCAAAATGCTCATCATCGAAATTAAGTTTTCGGAGACTCCAGCTAGGCAAGAAAACAAATCATAGTTCTTGGTCTTTTTAAGTATCGATTAACCAGAATACTAAATTATTATTTTTGAAGCTTTCAAGTGCTGATTTAACCAGAATACTAAATTATTATTTTTGAAGCTTTCAAGTACTGATTTAACCAGAATACTAAATTATTGTTCTTGGAGCTCTCAAGCGCTGATTTATTCAGAAAACTAAATTATTGTTCTTGGAACTCTGGAAGGGCCATTTTTAACCAAAAAAATCTAGCCTCTAGAACGTGTTCCTGGGTATTTTATATAAAAAGATAATATGGATTTTGACGATTTCAGAGCTTTTAATTTACATACTCAACTTACCCAAAAATTCCATAAAATATAAAAAAAGTCTGCTCGCCCTCCCTGCTGCTAAGTGGAAACATAACTACCAAAAGTTAAAAAAAAAAAGATAAGTCTTAACTACTCTAGTAGATTTAAGTCACAGATAATTAGCTTGAGCTTTTAGTTCGAGCTTTCATTTTTGTATATAATTTATAAATAATTGTTATTATACAAACTAGTTTTTATATAGCTGCTATGTAAATATAATACTTATATAAATTACTCAATAAAGATACAAGCAAAATCTCATTTTAATTTTCTGATCCTCTAATAAAAAGTCCCCAGGCCAAAGAGGTCACCTTAATACCAAAAAAAAAAAAAATCTCATTTTAATACTAAAAAAAAAAAATACTAAAATTTAAATAAAAGCAATAGTAGATCATCGGGAGAATTAAATAAGTGCAAATCTGCAAGAACCTGTGAAAATACAGATTTTTGTATAATTTTTTGCAAAAAAACTGCAAAATTTCTTATATTTTGAAATTTTGCGCAGAACTGTATTTAGTTTCTTTAGCTATAGCTGGTGGGTCTAAAGTTTTGCACAGATTTTCATTTAATATATTATTTAATTTTTTTGCAAATCTGCACAGAACAGCATTAAAAAATTTTTTCCAATGATAATAACTTGAACTATAAATTTTAACTAGTTTTGTAATAGGTTTAACTAGTATTATTTCTGAATAAAAACATATCTATAAACTATCTATAAATACAAACATGGACTATTTACAGATATAGAGAGTCTATGAACATATTCATGAACATGAACTATTTATAAATAGGCATTCAATATTTATAAACAGGCATAGGCATTCAGAACAACACTGGGTTTAGTAGCTAAGATACAAACTTTACTATTATTAATTTATTTAAGTTATTTAAATTTAAATTTGTATATATTATATACTATAGTATATAGTATAATTATATTTAATTTTATTTTAAATAATATTATCTAGTTATATAAAAACCAATTAAATCACTAAATTTTATATAGCCAAAACAAAGTAAAAAAATTTAAAACTTTAATAACTTAAAATTTTATTATAAAAACTAAGGTAAAGAGGGGTAATTTGGCGAATTGCGGGTATTTAGTGATCCCGTGCTCAATCAAACAATTTTGGAGACAATTCGAATAGTACAAAAATCAGTAGATTTCGATCACTGGGTCACTATATCTATGACCCAGTGATCGAAATTGAACGATTTTTGTACCATTCGAATCGTCTCGAGGAGACGAATCGATTGGTGGTAAAATTGTTTGATTTCGATTACGCCTACCCGCCACAACTCCTTCTTCCAATTTCATGTACTGTACGTACGTACGTACGTATGTACATACAAATTGTTGATAACTCGTGATCCTGTGATCCAAATTGAATAATTTTAGTGCCAATCGATTCGACGAATCGAATTCTACTAAAATCATTTAGCCTGGACCAATTAATAACGAACTATGTGAGATTTTAACTAACTTCGCCAAATTACCCCTATTTACCTTATATTATAAATTTAAGCAAAAGTTTTTAGCATCAAATTTTTTATATATACTATAACCCTTTTATTTTAACTCTAATTTAACTTTAATCTAACTCTAACCTTAATCTTATTAATTATATATATATATATAATTTTTAATAAAATTTTATAATATCAGATAATATTACTATAAGTAAAATTATTTTAAAGTATAAATACTGTGTACGTATACTGTATATACTAGTTAACCAATTTTGTTGATTATTACCCAATGCCAACACTGGTATATACCGATACTACTCTTACTATATTTGTTCGAAATAAGCCCAAGAAGCGTGATTTAGAATTTGACCTGAATTAAGTTTAATTCGGGCCAAATTCTAAACCACACCCCTGGGCTTATTTTGAACAAATATGGTAAGGCTTAACCGTGAAGAAGAGTTAACAATAAATTTTTTCAAATAAAATTTTACAAACTTATGAAATTAAAACAATTAATTTGATTATCATCGAGATTAAAAAAAAAATTAAAATTTGATGCATTCCTACATCATCCCCACATACCAATTATACTTTGTTCTCTCGTAATCGATGCTAACAAGTGCTAAAAATTGTATTTTAAGTTAGGTAGAGAAACGATCATAGTCGAGGTGAGGAAACATTATGGATGCGTTATGGATGCTCAATTTATGAAATTTTGTTATCGTTATGCATTGTCACGTATAATTTTTGTTAGATATGTCACATGGTAGCCCAAAGAAACATATGGATTCTTATCGTTATTAAATACGTATTAAAAATAAATTGATTATTATAACAATAACGATAATAATGTAAGATGATTGTTTAGGATTATCATGTTCACATGGTTTTAAAATAGAACGTTTTATATGCTGCAAACAGGTTACTATTACAGTAATTGTCGTATCCGGTATGTACGTACGTACGCACGTATATATCTTGTGGCAGTAGGTGGTAGGTGGCAGTATGTCGCGCCGTTGACGAACCATCTAAATCTGAGTAGAAACTTAACCAATCAAGCAACCTGTGCAACTGTTTCAAAATATATCGATATATAGATATTAGAAAACACAAAAAAAAAGTCTCGTAAATAACACGTGTATGTAAACTCTTGGTTCGATTAATATGTATTAGATTAATGTTCATCAAAATGCTACGGCTGCAGTGTAACTTAATTTGTTTAACTCGTTGTTTGATAATTTGTACCTTAAAGATATTTTCATTTTCTACGCGAAAGCTGTTTTCAAACTCATACCAGCGTTAGAGAAAATGAGCAAGAAAAATAAAGGAAAGAAGTCTTCGAAGGTGCAGATACCACAAGAAAAATTAACTCCTGGTGGAGATCAGTTTTTTGGCTCGGTAAACGGTATTCAAGTTAGAAGACAAAGTGAATCTTCTTTTATTGAAGACATACATGAAAAAGAGACACGAAATGCTGGTCAATTGAACGAACAAGAATCTTTGAATGAAGACTCACCATATGAAAAAGATACACAAAATACAAGTCAATTGAACGAGCCAAAGCCTCAAAAAGGAAATTCTGGTAAAAAAGTGAGTTAAAGCATTCGAAGCTTAAAATGTAGCTTGGACTCTGTATTTAGTCTTATATTGTTTTTCGTTTTTTCGTTATCAACAAGAAATAACCATAATTCATTTTTTTTGTTAACAGGCAAAAAGTAAGAAATCAAAACAGGTATTTATTATATTTTAAGATCTTTAAAATTATAAAAAATTATGTATTTTATTTATTTAAATTTTACATTATAGCAAAAGAAACCAAAGAAAACTGGATTCTTTGGTGGACTATTCAGGTTTAGGACCTTATTCATATTATATATACTTGGAGTGTTTTTCGTTTGCCATGGCAAATCCCACAAGCAATGTTCATATCCAGTTGAGCTTTTTTGTTATAACGGTGTCTCCCAGTATATTCTTACACATGATTGGTTCCATAAATATATTGAGCCCGTAGTTGTCGAGGTTAAACTTTATTCTGCAGATTATTCGAAACAAGCTTTGATCGCTTATGAGACCCATGCAAAACCCCATATAAACCCTTACGTTGAATCCGCTCAACCTTACATACAAAGTGCTAAGGAATTGTCTATCGAATATGTATATATTCCTGCTGAACAAGGAGTGATGAAAGCTCATGAATTTTACAATCAAAATGCAAAAGATAACGTGGAAACATACTATGGGATGGCTAAGGAAGCAGTTGCCCCTTATCTGAATAAGGCTCAGAAGCAAGCTAGTAATGCTTATGAACGACTGATTTACTATAATCAAAAGAAGGTTCAACCCTGGTATAATAACAAGTTTATACCTTGGGTGAAAAAATCGAAAGAGGCTATAATTATCAAATACAACGAAAAAGTAGCTCCACATATAAGTCAGTTAGTAAAAACTGCCAACGACAATTATCACAAGCATGTTGTTCCCTTTTACGAAACTAATGTCAAACCTTATGTCGAGCCTTATGTCGAGTATTGTATTACAGCTATCACGGAGCTTATACAAGACAAAAAGAAAACAGACCCTAAGGCTAAAAAGGAGGCTGAACGCAAGGCCAGAGAGCGCAAAGCTAAAGAGGAGGCTGAACGCAAAGCTAAAGAGGAGGCTGAACGCAAAGCTAGAGAGGATGCTGAACGTAAAGCTAAAAAGGAAGCCGAACGCAAAGCTAAAGAAGAAGCTGAGCGTAAAGCTAAAGAGGAAGCTGAACGTAAAGCTAGAGAAGAAGCTGAACGCAAAGCTAAAGAAGAAGCTAAACGCAAAGCTAAAGAAGAAGCTGAACGCAAAGCTAAAGAAGAAGCCGAACGAAAAGCTAAAGAAGAAGCTGAACGCAAAGCTAAAGAAGAGGCTGAACGCAAAGCCAAAGAGGAAGCTGAACGTAAGGTTAAAGAGGAAGCTGAACGTAAAGCCAAAGAGGAAGCTGAACGTAAGGCCAAAGAAGAAGCTGAGCACAAGGCCAAGGAAGAGGCAGAAAAGGCTGCTATAGCCGCTGCTATTAAGGCTGTTCGTGATACTGCTGCTACAAGTATATCTCGCGCTCGAGAAAACGTCAATATAGCTCTTAAGGACTATGAGCTTAAAGCAAACTCCGCAGTAAAGAAAACGTCGGGCGACACTGATGCTAAAATAATATCTCTTAACAAATTAGGTTCTGATTATCCTTCCAAACTTACAAAACTTGTTGAGGAACTCACAAAGGATGCTAAGGATGATATTGCAATCAAAATTGATAAAGTATCAGAATATGCCAGACAAACTATAGATACTGTTAAAACAAATGTAAAAAGTGCTGATGAATTACTTGATATTTTAAACGAAAAAGTTAATGAGCTGGAAAAAGATATTGTTATTGTTATTAACCGTAATATAAATGATATCAAGACCAACGCTTATAACAAAGCAGGAAAAATAACTCTTGATCAAAAAATTTATGATGAGGTTGATAGGGATGTTAATACTGCTTCACAGACTATGACTGCCGAATTTAATAGTTCAACATTAAAAGTAAAGGAGGAGATCAAAAAAATTGAAATAAAGATAACGTCTTTGAAGTCCACAGCAAGAAATGTTGTTCAAGACATTGTAAATTCGACCAAAACGGTAACACAGGCCTTAAAGCAGCGTGACACTCCAGTAATAGCATCCCAAAAAGTCAATAACGAACCAAGTTCGCTAAAAGAATCAGCAAAAGAAAGTGACAAAGTACCTCCATTGGTTGTTCAAACATCAGGTGACCCTGTGTTGAATAAATTAAAGAGTCAATTTGATCCAGTTTTACAAAAATTGAAAGCCGAATATAAAAAAAACAAGGAAAATAAGCAATCAGAAAAGATTGTAAAGGGCGATTCTCATTAATAGTTATCGAATCTATCCCCGAAAGGACGAACCATGTGGGTTGAATAATTTTATTTGTTCGAAAGACATGGATATTACGGTGCTGATTTTAATTGGTTGTTTGGGTTCGAAACATCGTATTAAACATTATTATTATCATTTTTTAGAGCATTCGTTTAGCTATACAAAATCACGATTTCTCAAGATCGCAATTTTCGTATTGCAGTTACTGCATTAAGAAAATAAAATTATGTCTACAAATCATGTATTGTCAATATATTAATAATAGAAATGTAAAGTTTTCGGAAAATAGAAAATTTCCTATTCACTATATTATTCACATGAAATATTTTAAATATTTTGATGTTCTCATGATTGGTTGTCCTTAATAATTTATTAAAATCTTTACTATTGAGTTTTTTTTTTTTTAATTTTATCTGCGTAAAATTATTTTAATAAATTCACCGTCAAAACTTCATGGATAAAGTTGTATATTAAAAACGTTCTCTTCCGGACTGTAGAAATTTCGTATTGTATGTTGCCTCAATATGTACTGTATTGTACGGACTGTAGAAATTTAGTACTGTATGTTGTCTCAATATGTACTGTATTGTACTCGCATTATGTATTATTATAGTATACTTATTTCTTATAAAGTGTTCTGTATTGTATTAAATAAAAAATATAAACAATAATACAGTACACCACTTTAATATTTATTTGAACTACGTAGCATAAAATCTTTTCAAAAATGTTTGCATCTTATATGTAAATATATATGTAAATAATGGGTTTCATGCATGCGCATTCTATCTTAAGAAATAAATAAAAAAATAAAAAAAAAATTAATATAAGGCGGGTCTACATGACATTTTAACTAAATTCAAAAAGACCATCCTAAGAAAAAAAAATAAAAATAAAAAATAAAATAAAATTTCAAAAAAAGCAGTCTTAAAAGAAAGAGAAAGAAAAAATAATAAAAATTAGCTTAGGAAAAAAAAAAAAAAAAAAAAAAGCCCTCTTTTCTATTTTTTCCAACATCCTATTTTTTTCAATGTCCCATTTTTTCAACATCCTATTTTTTTTCAATGCCTTATTTTTTTGACATTCTATTTTTTCAATATAATAATTCTTTTCAAAAAACTAATATGGTGATTTGTATTGAATAGGTAATTCTACTCATTATCTAAACTAATATCAATATATTGGCTTGTACTAATTTGATATGCCATTTACTGTTTAGTAATATTTGTTAGTTTGTTTACACAAATAGAGAAGAATTATATTACAAATCAAAATGTTTTGTCTATAAATTCATTAAAGCAAAAGGCTCTAATCATTAATTGACTATTATAAGAAATGTACTATATTGTATCATTTTTAAATTTCATATAATACAGTACTAAATTATTTTATATACAGGAATATTCATACTGTATTGTATCATTTCAAAATTTCATAAAATACAGTACTAAAATATCTTTAGCACAGTACACTATATATGTATATTTATTTGTTCTCTTCTTAGTTCATGTATATATAATTAATTAATAATCTGCCACTCAACATAAGAATGATCATAGTATAACATGATGCAGTTTACTATATAAATCTAATATAGCCCGAATATGGAAAATTTCTAACATTTGTCTAAAGAAAACTTTTTTTATACTAAGTTAATTAACTTTGTCATTTAATTAAAAGTTGTAGAGCTCGTCTTTGCGGTTCTAATGGTAGTTAAATCATTCAAATCAGCTTTGTAGATGCCAAAATATCTTTAAAAGGCTTTTTTTTTTCTTTTTTTTTTTTAATCTTTATACTTTTTATTGAAATGTATATAAGAGCTATATATATTTAATTTATAGAACTCAAAGCCCAACTTCACTCGGTTACCTTATAGTCCTAAATACAACTCATTACACCAGTTTGCGGACAAACCAGAATTATCTTATCAAAAAATCTATAAAAAAAAGAAAATGACCTATAACTAAAAAGGAGATATGAAAGGAGGAATAGGGGAAGTGAACAAAATGTAAAAATAAAAAACCCAAAAAAAAGAAAAAACAGAAAAAAATAAAAAAATATTTTATAGAAAAAAGATAACAATTCGAGAGGAATTTCACCTCTTTATATGAACAAAATGCACTATTATAATCTGTACAAGGCTAAAAAATTATATAACAAATGCAATGATTGTATATCTCTAATGTAAAGCTTCGCCTTAATGTATAAATTTCTTCCGACTTATAACCGCTTTCAGATATCTCTTTAACCGGAGGTACCGATTTGACTTCCCCAGAGTAGCACCATATTTGTAAACAAATATGTTACATGGTTGCATTCTATTGAGTCTGTCCGAATTTGGAAAGTAAACAATGCCGATCTTTTAAAGAGGGTAAGTCAAATTCCCACTTTTTGCAAAAAAAATTTTGGAAGACCGACAGGGAGGCGAGTAAAAGTAAAAAAAGAAACCATTTGGCCAAATAAAAGAGTGTAGCTTAAGAAAAATAAGATAACTGTTGTACACCTGGGTTCCAAGGTCTTTGTAGTTTCGTCAACAGGTTTGTACCTACCAAAATTTTTTCTATTCACAGTAAGCACCGTCTGCTTTTTCACTTCTGTTTCTAGGCTTTTAGCTTGTATGTCAAATATAGGAGGGAGTCCCCAAGAAGAAGGTTAACCACTTTGTTATACCTTAAAAACCACTACTATAGACCTTTAGAACAGTAAACTATAGAACTTCATTGACGAATGAATCCATCAAAATTTATACTTGAGTAATAAGCGCCGCCTGCTTTTTTTACTATTACTCTGTGAGGCTTCTGGCTTGCATGCCAAATGTAAAAAGGAGTCTCTAGAGCCAGTTAACCTTTCTACAAACCATTCTAATAATTTATACAACTCTCTAACAGACTTTTTATTTCTCCTTTTAGTTGGAAGTTTTGGTCCAAGTGATCGTCAAAAAGAGTTGTATATTATTATATTTGTTAAAAAACATTTCTTTAACTATATAAACTTCTTTGTAATTGTTTTAAAGAAGTTTACATAGTTAAAGAAAGTTTTTTAAAGATATTTTGGCATTCACTAGGCCAATTTGGATAATTTAACTACTATTAGAACCACAAAGATGAGCTCTACAACTTTCTTTTTTTTTTTTTTTTGCTTTGATAACCTTGCACTAATTTATTAGAATATTATAATTTTTTAACAAAAAATTAATCTATCTAAATACATATTAGGCAAAACCTGGCTGCTATAAAAGTGCTCAAGAATGGTTATCGCACTAATGTTTGCCAACAGATTCCACATGCAGTAATACCCGTATTTTAAAACCTGCTATAGCATAGTACTTAGCTATCCTATTTTTTTTTTTTTTTTTAATATTATTTCCAACTTTATTTTGACCACCATCTCGCTAGAAATGAACTTGAGATTTGCAACCTTATTGTTTCCATTGCTAAATTATAAACTTCAACTATTTTTTCCCCAAACGTAACCAAGGTATTCTTCATTTTTCCGACTTTCAATAATTCGACTCCTTCTTTATTCTCTTTCCATCTCTTGCTTGGATGACTTGTTGATGCAACTTCATTATCTAATAAAGAATCTTCTATGTCTTTTTCCTCTATTTAATGACGTGACTTCTTCTCTTGATATTTTTGCCCACCTTTTTTTGGATAGTTTTCTAGTGCATCAGAATTTCTTGTTAGTCCTTTATCCTCTGCTATGGAGTTAGCTTCTACTTGGGTGGTACTATTGACTCTGGATCTTTTTTTTCTCTTGATAGCTCTGCTTATACCTATACTTTCTTCTTATACTGCAAATTTCTCATATCTTTTTTTCCATATCACTCTATAGAAACACTTTTGTATAACATAACTAGCGCATCGTAGCATTGTCTACTTAACTTGTGTTTTTTATTTATTACTTGCAGTCTTGAAAAATCAGCTTGGCAAGCTAGACCGAAGGTGAGGGCTTTCCTTTTTTCTAACCTTTCTTCTTGTGTACTCCCAAAAATCACCTTTATGATTTCTTCTATAGAATACATAAATCTAGTTTCTTCTTCAAGCATGGCCCACGCTGTCGCAAGAGCTTGGTTTTCAACCTGCTTTCAGACCTCTTAATAAGATTTATAGCTAAAAAGATGATTCATATTTTCTATTTTTTCTTCCTTACACATTATACACATTGGTGAAGTGTATAAATCTGGATTGCGTTGGTAGAGTTTGTCTAGCATTGGAAGCATACCAAATAATCTCTTTAACTAGCTTACAAGCTTATTACTATCTTGGAGCAATCTACATCTTTGGCCTCTCAGCTCTTTTAATCTTTCTTAGCAATGTGACCATATGGGGTTACTTTTTCAGTCTAATTGTCATAGTGAAAAGCATCTTTTCAATAGATACCATTCACTTTCTATAAGCCTCCTTTTTAATCTCAAAATGAACTTTCGAAATAAATATTCAATACTTCTTTCTTGCCACTTTATATCAAAACTCCAGTATAATTGCAAGTTGTTTGGCCACTTTCATGTTTCATCTAAATAAGCACCTTCTTTTGCGATGTTATCTGCTTCTTCATTCCACTTTACTTCACTATATGCTTTAACCTTTATCAAATCAAGTTCAAGCTCTTTAAACTGGATAGTTTCTACTATTTTGTCAAGTATTGTTCTATTTTTTACTTTCAGCCCCTTGCTAAAATCTTTTTCTTTTAATGCCCATCTTATAGCTGAGATTGCTACTAAGCTATCTGTCTTAACCTGTATACAAGCATTTCTTGTTACTGTTAATAAAGCATACAAAATTGCAACTAACTCGGGTCTTGTTGATGATGGTCAGTCACTTATTCTAACTTTGTCTTTAAAAACTGCTGTTTTTTCATCCTCCATAACTTAAACCCAACCAGCATCTATTTTATCTTCCTTATTTTCAATTAGTTTATTTGGAACCCATGAGCCATTAGTGTAGAAAATACAATTCTGTCTCTTTTGGCCAAAATTAATTTTTAAACCATACATTAATACTGCTCGAATGTTGTTTGGAAGATAAAGGTTATTTATATATTCAAGATCATTGTCATTAATTTCCTTTAATCCTCCAAATATGTCTTCTGAGATGTCTTTTTCTATAGTGAGAACACTATAAATCTCTAGTGGAATTCTGAGACACCATCCCTCTTCATCTTTGGCAACATAGTTTATTTTTCCTACTACTTGGCTTATACTTAATTTGAAAGTACATCTGTTTTCATTGTCTATTTCACTAAGTTTACTGCCACTACATTGTTCTAAGTGGGCCCCTTTTTTCTCTTGAGTTGACTTGACCCAATGATTAACTACTATTGAGTCTGTTTTCTTTTTCTGAATGTGGCTGATTTTGAGCTAGTTTGTTTCATCATGATGTAAAACCCAATCTTTTTGTTTTTTATCTGCACTAATATCTAAGAGGACTGGTACCATAGCCTCGAAATTTGTCTCTTGAACTTGGAACTGCTGTTTGACTCTACATTCTTCTTTATTTGCAAGCATTAGATTTTCTATTACTTTGTACTAGCATGGAACTTTTCCACTACAATACTGGTTTTTCATTGCTTTTACCTAATGCCAAGTTAATAAGTTTCTACCTTTTACATCTAGTAGTTAATTAATAAAATATAGGTCTAGGTCTGTTTGCCACTTTCTATATTCTTTTCTATCTACTGAGTTAAGCATGTTTGCTATTGATATTCCCGAGCCTAGAATACACCAACCTTTTTCTTGTATTGTAAACATCAAATCTATTTTTTTGCAATGTTTCACTATGTTTAATGCGATATTATCTCTATGGCTAAAACTTGTTATGTTACATATTAGTGAACTCCAAACATCTTGAGTTATGCCTTTTCTGAGTATTTCTTGTCTAATTCTTAGCTTTGTTATCTTCTTTACTATTCCTGTGCTGTTTAGTCTTTTGATTAGTGCTGTGGCCTGTTTTGCTAATATTGCATCCGCAAGCAATTTAACTTCTAGTGTACCATCATGGATTAAAATGCTGTTAGGTGTAGTTTGCGCTATTCCTAATTTCTTCTTTATCAGTCTCAGAAATGGCTGGTAGATTATGTTCAACTCTTTTTCCGTTAATGCTACAATTTGCAGAATGTACTCCAGTTTGGGAATTAAAACTTGATTGTTTATATAAACTAATTAGCTAGCTATAGTTTTTTTCCTTTCTAACTTATATGTAAAGAGGCCTACTATTTGTTTCAATTTCTTTTTGATTTCCACTACCTCTTTTCTTACATGTAGGAATGTTTCAAGAAATTTGAGGTTATGCAGTTTTTTCTTCGCTTTAACAAATGCTCTACCATAATCTATTTGTTTTTCTGTTAAAGGAAGTTCTGAATTAAGTACGACGAGTTTGAACTTGCTACCATTAATTTCTATGCTATTTAGTTTGAAGAACTGTTCTGCTATCTGAGTTATTTGCTCTAATTGAGTTTTCAAGCTCGCAATCCATATGGTGTCATCGGTGTATGCGAGAACTGCCTGCCTTGCACCTTTAAGCTCTTCGATCCCTAATAGGGTTTTCATATGCTTTGGCATCCTAACTTTATAACCTAACTCTGCATCTCTTTGTATGCGGTCTAACAATGGGTTATAGAATATTCTCCACAAGAGAGGTGAAATAGCCTCACCCTGATCAATACCCCCTTCAGCTATGATTTCTTGTAACAGACTATATACTGTTATTATTTTTAGTTTTCTGTTTACGAAGAGATTGTGAACCAATTTACAGCACAGATCTGGAACTTTGATTTTTTTGAGAGCTTTTTGCAGCATAGTAAGATTTACGAAGTCAAAGGCCTTTTTTATATCCTGAAACAAGACCCACATTTCTTGCTTGCTTTTTTCTGCCTCTTCAATAAGAGCTTTTAGTATATGCACTGGTTCCTCTGTCAAGTTTCCTGGTAAACCAGCAAAGTTAGGGCCTTGCAGAATATTTTTTTCCTTAATGATTTTACTCAATCTTTTAGTTAGAATCTTTGTAATACATTTTCTAAATACTTCTATTAGAGCGATTGGTCTAACTTTATCTAGATTGTATTCCCAATCTTGCCCTTTTGGGATTGGATAAATATGGGTCGTTTTTCATTTACTTGGGATGTTGCCTGAGCAAAGACATAATTCTGCAAAGTTCTTAAACACCAATTGCGATTTAGTATTTGCCTGCTTTAGTAACGCGTATGTGATTGTTGAGATTCCAGGTGCTGAATTCATATTGCTTTCGCTCAAAATTGACTGCCACTCTTCTAATGTTATCAGTTGGCTTAGTGAGTCATACCAGGCCTCTTGAATTCGCTCTTTCGGTTGGTATTCCCCAAACCATATACTTTCTAGTTCTATACTGTCCTTCTTCTTGTTTACAAATTGGTTCTAAAAGTGTGTACGAACTTCTTCTAACACCTCTACTGGATCATTCGCTAGCTTAGTTGAGTTGTGGTTTTGTATATATACTCTATCCAAAGTAACTTTGTTATATGGCCGTTCTAGTAAGCTAGCTAACATTTTTCTTTGTTCGTTTACAATTTGTTCAGCTCTTCTCTGCACGTATAGCTGGATTTTTTTTTTTCTTGCTCTGCATGTATAGCTGGATTTTTTTTTTCTTGACTTTTTCATAATCCATCACTAACTTGCCTTCTATTGCTTTCCACCAGGTAGTCGCTTCTTTACACCATGTTGATATTTCTGCTAGTTCAATTTTATCAACATTACTATCGGCCCACATATTTATTTGTTTAACCTTCTTGTTCCATATAGGGGCCTTCTTCTGTAGAGTGGATATATCCAATGACTTTGCTTCTCTAATTATTTTACCTAGTGAATATGCTGCTTTGAAGAACCTGGTTTCTTTGTTCTTATATTTTGACCTTTTCCTAAAATCTATTACTTTATTTGGCAAATTAATTCAGCCTGCCTATATAATTGCTTTTTCTATCACTTCCCACAATTGTTCAAGATTTGATTCGAGCTGTTCTAAAACCCTCGCCTCTATTGGTAAAGTATATCCTTGAGCATATTGAGCTCTTTACTATTTAATCGCTTCTATAGGTCTTTTTGGTAGTCACATCAGTTCTCTTCTGTTGCATTGTTGAGTTTCCAAACTCTTTGTTTCGTGTTAGATAAGCGATTATCTACCTCATTCTCCGAGAACATTGCTATGCTCCAAGCAACCTTAGCATAGACCAAATCATGGTTGCTTCCTGTAACTGTTGTCATTTTATATATATCGGCCTCATATGCTACCTCTATCATTTCTTTTGAAATTCATACTTGGTCTATTCTTGTTGCTACTAAGCTATTACTCCAAGTAAATTTTCTTTCGTGTGGATTAACTCTTGTTCCTTAAGCCAATTATGTATTCCCAGTCTTTTGTTATTATCAATTTGAGATGACTTATCTAATGTAGAATCTACTACAAAGTTAAAATTTCCCATTACTGCTATGAATGTATCTTCATGAAACTTGACTATTCTTTCTCGTATCATAGTTTCTATCTCTTTTGTAGCAACCTTGTCTGCCGGAGGGATATATACCGTAAAAATTATCACCTTGTAATTCTTAAAATATAAATATACTACTAATAAAAATTCATTTAGCTTCTCTATTTTGGCTATATGCTTTTTTAGCTCTTCTCTAATAAGAAGCCCTACTTCAAAACCCTTCTTTTTTGTTTTCGAAGCTAAAGACCAAATTCCTCTAAACCTAATATTGTTCTTCGCTACAAACCTTGTCTCAGTTTCTTGCAAGTTTGTCTCTGTAATCTCTAGCACATTAAAACTATTTTCTTCTTCCCAGTTGAACAACATTTCTAGTCTATGTCTGTGTATATTTAGTCTATTTATATTGTGTGTTGCCAACTTTATCTCTGTTCATTTGACCAGTCTTGGGTTGAAAATAGGTACTATTTGTGTCTGAACCTGGCCATTATTCAGAATACCTGTATTTGTTAAGATGCCGATAGCCCTTTTAGAAGTGATTGGAGCTGTCACCCCTACTTTGGCGCTCTTCTAGTAATTCAAGCCTCTTTAAGATTTCATACAGCAAGTCTGTTTGAATATTCTCTCTTTCTTTCTCTTTTTCTACAGCTTGCTGGGTTTTTGAATTTTGTCTTCTATTAAAATTGCTTGAAGGCTGTTGTTCCTTGTAGTTGTGTTGCTATTATTTTGTCATTCTGCTATCTGTTGTGCGTTGTGGCTTTCGGCTGTAATTGCTGATGGTTTTGGTTCGATTCAATTCCCTCTCTCGGCGTCTTGTATTTTTGACAGGTCTATATCCCCTTTAATGCTTGTGGGATACAAACTTTTTAATGTGTTATCAGTCCACAAATAAACAGGGTTTAATAGTTGTTGTTAAGTTTGCGTTTAGATCCAAAAACCTCTTTTTTCTCTAATGAGTCTGTAGTTATCTTTTTTGGGTTTATATTTTCTTTATCTGTTAGATAGCTAATGCTGGCGTCACAAGACTTTAAGATACTGCTCTTTTCTCTAGGTTGTTGGTATAATTTCTTGATTTCCTCATTAACCAAGTCTGCCTATTCTAGTTTTGTATTAAAATAATAAACCGTTTGTTTCATTGCTTTTAATTGGTCTTCTTTTGAAGCAAAGTATACTGAAGCAGTGCCTCTTTGGTTTCCATTACTATTTGTCGAGATATACACTACCTTTGCCTTTATATTTTTTAGTTGTCTTAATAGTGCTGATTCTGCTACTATTTTGGGTAAGTTCTTTATAACTGATTTGAATTTGCTTCTTTTTACAAGTGTTTCTTTGTCTAAGAACCCTGGCGTTATTCTTATCATCTTGCCATTTTCGAAGTGCACCTCCCACGAATTTTGCAATTCATCACTTCTTTTTTGATTTCTAAATGTAACTTCAACTTGCGTGGCCTTTGTCTTGCTATTGGTCATGAAACATTTTACTATTGCTCTACTATAAAAACTTAGAGCCCTTCTAATTTGATTTGCCTTAGTTTCATTAGACAGATCCCATAAAGTAAGGCATGTTACAACCTTGTGCGGTTTTTCTTTTACTGTTGAAGTAGTTTCAATAAATTGATTAAAGTGGTTTGTTGCTTCCACTACCTTGATGCTTTGTTCAGTTTTCTCATATCATATACGCTTGGGAGTAGCCTCATTGGGACTATCTTCCAATCTATCTATACCTCTTTTCAGGTTGAGGTCATTTGGCATTTTGACTTGAGACTCGGATTTAGTATTGGTTAGTAAATTCTGATCTGAATTAATTATACTCAGAATCTCTTCTACTCCATAATCGGTAGTACCACATTCTGTTAAAAGAAGTATTTCTTTAATATGTGACACCTTACTACTTGTTGCTGTAGCTTTGTTTTCTTGTAGTATGGCTGGGCAATGAAAAAAGTCCTGTTTATTTGTTGTTAGGATATCACCTCTTGTGTCTTTGCATTTTAGCCAGTTGAACATTTCGATTGTTTTCCTAATTATGCTTACTACTTCTGTTGAATCCATACCAAGCCACATTGCAAT